CCTCGACGACCAGCCTTCCACATCTGCGCAACTCTGGGCTCGCGTTCGCAAGCAGCCCAGAACCATCAGTGTAGACGCGCGTTCCCAGGGAGGGTCCGTGCCCTGTGCCCCCCCACTAAGAACGTGGTTAGCTGGAGCCTTCACGGGGAGCCGTACGGGGTCAAAATGTAGCCCATGGGTCAGCTCAAGCGTGACCCAGTTGGGCGGGCCAAGGCCTTTTATCCCCTCGGACCCTTACAAAAATCCTTGCGCTCCAGAGCTTCAGTCGAGAGGGGCTCGAGGTCGGGGTCCTCGGGAGGCTGGGGGAGGGCAGGGCAGTCGTAACACTGGTGCCCTAGCGAGGCCCTAGGGTGCCGTGGGCTCCACTCGGGCACAGCTCACGGGCTCCTGAGTCTCTGAGACCGGCAGCCGTCTCGCGCACAGGGGGCCAAAGTGCTCCGCCTAAAAGGCACATAGCAGAGCCCCTCTTGATGTGGCAAGTATTCTAGTTCGCAGGGGCCTTCTCCAGACCCTCTCAGTGCCAAAAGCATTTGGAATACGCCTCAAGATCTTAGCCATATACCATCTGCCAACTCCTTCCTGCAACTCAGCTGGCGGCACCCTGATGTGATCGACGATGTCGTCTTCATCCGTGACAATGCAATGGACGGCGCTCGTGCTACAGCTGACCCTTCGCAGAGACAGAAATATTGCAGTCATGGGGCCATGACACTCCACCCGTGACTTGGCCTAAGACCATTCGTCACCCGTAGCCATTTTGGCTCAAGCCATTCTGGCTCAAGACGGCTCAAGAATACTTCCCTGACGCTTTGTATTGCAATATACCCCGCTGTCTCGAGCCGCCATTCTGGGCGGGGATGCTGGAACGTTATCTTCTCAGTACCCCTGCGCGGCCAGAGGCAAAGAAACAGAGGATTAACAGTTCGCTGCACGAGATTGACGGGTTGGACGACGCAGCCGAGCTTGCCGCAGGTGGCGTCAGAAGCGTGGACGACGGGACGAAGTAACAGCAGGCACTACTCCAATAACGTCTGGAAATCGCAGCGGATGACAGTGCACCTTTAATGGCAGGTATGTCCGACACTACCGCGATCAAGCAACACGGAGTATCGCACGCAGACCTCAAACCATTACAAACATCGATTGGCGACCTTATTTTGCGCATGGCAGCCGTCCGGGCTAAGCATGCAGTTTCGAGACCCTCATTGGCAACGTCGGGAGCAGCCTCCAGCATGACTTCCACGATCGGGGACGAATTGCAGGAGTTGGCACGCGAGGTGCCCAACCTGCGTGGGAAAGGGTTGCCAGGACCACTTAGCAACTCTACGGCATCGGCGGCCGCCTACCACGTCAACGCGCGGTGACTGCGGTAGTTGGGAATTTGGAGAGCTTCGACATGGATCACACATCCACAGAGTGGATACGGGAGAAACTCATGACGAGCGACGGCCTTATCCCACGGAGAATGTACAAAAGGTGGCACGAATTCCCCAAGCAGAGCTTGCCTCTGTAGGGGACCTAGCGGATTCATATGGTTAGGTGAGGTATGGCCCGATTTCGGCGGCACGCCCGGGTGCCCGGTAGCCCTAACGGATCCATATGGTTCCCCTTATCAGAGCTTGCCTCTGTAGGGGTCCAAGCGGATTCATCTATATATATATATATATATATGTATATAGTGTTCGGTGAGGTATGGCGCCGATTTCAGCGGCACGCCCGGGTGCCCAGGCGCCCAGGGGCCCGGGGGCGCAGGGGCCCGGTAGCCCTATAGCCATATAGCCCTATAGCCCCATAGCCCTGTAGCCCTATACCCCTACAGCCCTGTAGCCCTATAGTTCTACTATAGCCCTAATCGCCCTATAGCCCTATAGCCTGATAGCCTTATAGCCCTATAGCCCTACAGCCCTATAGGCCTATATACCCCAATGGCACTATAGCCCTTATGGCCCTTTATAGCCCTATGGCCCTATAGCCCATATCCCTCTGGCCCTAAAAAGATTATGCTTGGGGAGTTTCTCCGGTCTCACCATATTTTGTTCGTTGAATTCGATTCGATGGTGGACCGCGACGCGGCCGTTGCTCTCATTAGGAGTTTGAAGTTGACACGCGGGCGCAAAAATGTGTGGCTACACCGGATCGAGCGCCAACGGATCGAGCCGCCCGGAATTTTTGTTTCGGCTTGAAGTACATGTTGAAGGAGACGACGCAGCTCCCGCACACCGTGAGAGTTACAGACGAGGGCCCATATCAAGTACATCTGGGAGGGGAGCTCGCGCTCACCATCACCACAAATGGGAATCATTTGAAGCGAGATTGGGCGGAAACTTGGAATGCGTGGCCAGAACTACAGAATCATCTTCAGCTCGTAGAGCTCACGGAAAACGCGACACGCCACTTGCGCGGACTGCCAACGGCATGAAGGGCAACCCGAAAGGCGGATCAAAGGGAACGGGCTCACAACAGGATGTCTGGCTGGTGCTGGTGGAGCCGCAGATCAACACCGGAGCCATTTCCATCAACGAGATCAGGCTTCTTGCCACCTGCAGCTACCGCGGAGACGTCTCGGGGCATCGGGGCAAAGCTACCCATAACTCTTCAATTAATCACCCCTTAGAGTCCAATATTCCACCTCCAACCTCCGCCTCCGGATATATATATATATATATATATATATGTATCCCAGTTTTGTTTTCCATCGACGCCTGGAGTTCTTTCGTTTCCCAGCATCGTCGACTCAGCGGTCCTGACAACATCCGTGGTCTACTCAATTACAGGAGATGGGCTCTACGGCAAACTGTTGGATTCTGACCCCAGCTCCCGCCTCAACCACTTCAGCTCCGACCGCGTCGGCCCCGCCGTCGAGGGCGCGATCCGACTTAGGACAGCGCGTGGCCAATCATCAACGCTTGATATCCCCCCCTCACCGCCGACCCCCACCCATGGGCCCCGGAAGGGACATGTCTCCATTGGAGGGCGCCCATCCCGCAGGAGCCGTCGCGGGAGGAACGGCCCAGGACAGAGCCTTGCCTCGGGTGCCGCCCGCGCCCCCTTTGCGCTTCACCGCCG